TGGTGATGGATTTCTCTTGTTCTGGAACGCCAACTTCAGCTAACTGCTTGGAGTAAGATCCCCAAAATCCAACTGAAATAGTATCACTTAGAGATGAGAAGTTGCTGGTTCTTCCTTTCCAAGTTTGTTTTACAAAGAGTACACAAAACTAAGATGTTGTGAACTGAGACTTCAATCAGGGACTCAAAGCATAGGCAAATTTCTAACAGAAGAGTTATTCATATGAACAGGTTTAATGTAACATGGAGTGCAAAAGATTGGAAGTATTAATAAAGTATCTTATTCCTCAACTTTAAAAAATAATTAAAACAAATAAAAGTGACCAGAAAAATAGGACCATTATAATCACATTAAACAGAAAAGCTACCATGAACATTTTCAGGATATGACAAATATAGTGCCAAACATTTTTAAATATTCCCCACAATTTTGTAATAGTCATGTTTCACAAAAACAGTAACCAAAAGAAAGGCTTCAGTACCCATAAAAAAAAAAAGGTAAGAGTACATATGCCAAGAGTTGCTAAAATACCTTGGTTTTTTATCTTTGTATTCGCCCTTCAGTAATTCTAACAAATGAATAATATTTCTTAGATAATACAGGTAGTACTTCATGTAGAACTATATAAACGTTTGTTAAGTAAAACATCTGTTTTACCCTGGATCCTATCAATTTCATAATTTTTATTTCTTCTTTAAAAGGCTAATCAAGCTGTCTGCCAACACTAGATTAACAATTTAATCCAACTTCATATAATATGTGAGAAATGACACCAAGTATATTTAATAATGTCTCTTTGAAACAAATATTTTTGAACAAATTTTTATGTGGTAAGAAACAGCCTCAGTCAATTTTTTGAAAAATGAGCAGCACAGTTCCTTACTACTCAGACTCTTCACTACCAAGAATTTAAGGCAAACTTTAGAAAAATACAATGCAAGAAAAGATTCAAGTTAGAAATGTATTCATTTGGTTAAACATCATCTCCTTTATAATATTTATTTGTAATCTAAACTCACAGCACGGCCCACCAGCCCAAGGTAATCTACATGTCATTGTACTTAGGATATTACAACGTGTTTTTCCGTTCAGCATTGATGGAGGCCACTGGATTGCAGCAACATCAGCTCCTTTACAATTTTCTTAATAGAGTTTTAATTTACAAATCTCCAGCACATGTAGTTTTCTTCAGAAGCCATATATCTAAACTTTTTATAGAAACCAGTGAACATTTTGTGGTAGACATTCAATAGTAATCTCGTAACAGTTCGCTTAGCTAAGTAAGGGCTGGCAATAACAATTTGCCAAGCTGCTTTCCTCTGTGTTCATCATGAACAACATCTTCTACTCTTCCTCTCTTAGCACAGGAATGGATGAATTTATGTTCGATTGTCAGAGTTGCTGTAGTAACAGTCTGTCCTAGGGTCACATCTTCCAAAACTATAACATAATAATCCCCAGATTTCTTCATATGTTCAAAAGACTTCATAAACTGTTCTGGGTTGACAACTCCAGACTGTCAGCTGACCCAGTACCTTAAAAAAACCTCTGTCTAAGTCAGCAGTACAGAGGGGCCTCAAAAACCAAGCCTTCTCCAGGATGTGTTTGGAGAAACGGCTGGATAAAGCGTAGCAGTATTCTGGCTCCAGTCCACTTCTCTGAGTAGAAACTGGGTCAAACATAGGTGTTTCGTCAGGTTCCATCTTGCCAGGAATTTCCACACAGGCCGGGCAGTCTGCACTCCCCACCAGGGCGGCAGACTCTACCATGGGACTGCAGAGTACCTTATTCGGATGGGCTTCAACGCCAGCCCCACCTCCGAACCCCAGCGGCTGAGGCTCAGGGCTCTGGGCCTTGTTTTATTTTTTTGACTGGTGTTTGATTGGTTGATTCATTTGGGGGTATTTCTTGAGTTGTTTGTTGGGATTTTTTTGTTTTGCTTTGTTTTGTTTAAAACAGTGGTTCTTGAACAAGCACCATCAGAGAACTTGTTAGAAAAGCAGATCTGAGGCTCTTCAAGAATAGACCTCCTGAGTCAGACACTCTGGGGTGCGTTTCAGGGCTGTCACAAACACCGCAAGTGGTACTGAGGCAAGCTCAGGTTTAGGAACCACTGCTCTAGGAAAAATATTTATTGCTTCTGTGAAAAAAAAAAAATGTGCTTCAAAATATTTAATCAGGGTTTCTTCAGATAGTAGCTGCATACAGATCTATCTAAACCTGTACAAATAACTTGATAAATTATAGAGGTCAATGGAAAAGAGACTGACATTTGGCTGAATATTTAGAAATAATTATGTGAAATCAAACAAAATACAGGAAACTTGTGCTTTCTAACATATGGTTGCAAACTGTGGTCTTTGACAAATTATATTCCCGGGGAGTCTTCTTCATTTTGTGAAAGAGCATCCCCTGTTCCCGGTACCATTTCCGAGCAATTACAAATAAATTTGTGTGTGATGCCGAAATCATGATTTGTTTTATCACCTGTTTTTTTCCAGTGAACTCTGTACAACGTTGCTTACAGACTTGATGAGTTTAGATTGTTTTATTTATGTTAAAATAAAAGTATTCACACTGACACAGATCATCAAGAAAGATATTAAGTATATCTGTAGTTGTTTACATTTTTTTAGGAAGTAGTCCACGGGGAGGTGATTGGGGAGGTAGAAGGTACTGATACCATTCATAATTCCAAATGTGAGTCATCACAACAAAAGGCAGAAAACACAATCAAATTTTACATTTGTCACAGTGCTGTTCATAGTGAGAATTAGCTGAGAAGGTGGGGCACACAACTGTTCAGTTTGCATTATCTCAAACGCAAATGCAAAAGCTGCCTGTTTTAAAAGCTTATTGAGTAATGAGGGAACGCTGTGACTCACGGAGAGGTTTATCTCCTGATGCTGACCTCAGACGTCTCTGGGCTGTCCACATCAGATGCTTTTGAATGTGATCTATAATTCCCTCCCTGCATGTAAATTACATTTAATAGCATTTTCTCAGTGTTATTCTCAACTAAAAAACTTTAAGTGGTCTACATGGGTCCTTTTCCCCCAGGCAGGTGTGTGCTTCCACATTCCAGTCACGTGTGTTCAATGAATTTTCCACAAACAGGAAATCAGGAAAGTCAGTAAACCGGGACTGAACTCAGGTCCTTATGCTTACGAGGCAGGCAGCAGCACCACTGAGGTAAATCCCCAGCCCTCCATGTACAAAATTTACAAGCCACATTAAAAAATTCTAACTTACACAGAAACAAAAGTTTACCAAAGAAAATGTCGCATGGATTTTGGGGGAAATCAATGAATTCATCCTGGGATTTAACTACAGATTCATGAAAATTTCGTGTAAAATAAAAATGCTTGAAGATAAACGTGTAACTGAACATTTGAGGGGTTTTCCCAGAAAATTTGTAAATAAGGGCATGTGCCAATCAATATTCCATAGCCTACTTGTTTACTCTTTTTGTTTGTTTGGTATTGGAGATCGAACTCGGGTCCTTCTGCTAGAAGGCAGGCAGTGGCACCACTGAGCTAAATCCCCAGCCCTACTTGTTTACATTTTACCTTCTTTCTTCCTATGGGTTTGGAGGGATGTGAAGAACTAGACTGGCTAAGATTTTAATATTTGACATTTTTTATAACCTGGGGAATAGACATTTTTCTCCTTGTTCAAAGAGGGTATATTTATTATTTTAAAATAAGAGAAGCTAACCGATTAACCCCTGACAGGAATTGCATTGCTCTTCATTGCCAAGTCTTTGTGCACTCAGGCTGGTGTAGTACATATAAAGGATTTTCCCAACTTCTGCTGGATCCTTGAGAAGGCCTATAAATACGACCATTTGTTTGGTCTCAAGATGACTCGCATTTGCAAACTGAGGAATGTTCCAATAGAAGTTTCATAGTGACACACCAGTCTGCAAACTGGCTCAGCCAGTAGTCAAAACAAGTCACTACAAGATTCAGGAAACGGAAGGCTTTGAATGGGTCAAAGTATCCTGCGTCTAATTTGGCACAGATAAATTGGGGCTATAAAAATGCAACTTTCTGTATGTTATCGACTTGAAGGGGCTCTAACAAATAGGGAAAATTTGTATGCACCCACTGGGGACATAGAATCAGGAGGATACTGTGATTAAACTGAAATCACTTATCCGTTCCAAGATCTTTCTTTTTTATTACAATGAACAATAGTTTACTAAAATTGGAAGACACGTTGTTTTCTTATCAGTTAAAGCTTGAGTGCTTAAAGCAATCCAAACATTTATTAACAAACTGAAGTTGAGCCATTTTTGAACATTTAATTGGGCAAGACAGACACATACAAAATACCTGGTTTCAGGGCTGGGGATTTAGCTCAGCAGTTCGGTGTCCTGCCTTACAAGCTCAAGGACCAGAGTTCAATCCCGGGTACCAAAAACAAAACAAAACAAAACAAGAAATACCTGGTTTGCATAGGAATTTTCATGCATAGTTCAGGGGTCCCAAGCCCAGGTGTCCATTAGAGAGACAGGAAATGCAAATTAGAAATGTAGACCAGGTGAGTGCCCATCCCAGCTAAGAAAGCAGTTCTTAGTGCTTGCCAGTTAATGCCTGATGTTCTGAATTTCCAAGAGAAACAAGAAATCAGAATTGTATCATAAAGCTTTCCTAATTTTAAAACTGTTGGCAACCAGTTCAAATTTTTTAAGAAGCTGTAAGCAGAACAAAACAAGTCAAAGAAACTGGGCTTCCCTGGCATGCCTCCACTCTGTACATGTCACCATTCTGCAAGGAATGAGCTGTAGTTCTGCACCTGTCCCCAAAATGCTAAGGCCAAGACATCCCAGCCACTCTGGAAGGCTTCCCTGAACATCAGGGCTTCTCCTGTCCTTATGTGGATCACTATGGTGGTGGTGGTTTCCAAAATGAACAGTTTCCTCCTGCTAGAGATTTGATTTGATGGTGGCAGCATGTGAGGTCTCCATCACTTCATGACATGTCTTTTTTCCACAGGCCTGATGGAATTGGGACTGTGACTGTTGAAGAGAAAGAACGTTTTGAAGAAATCAAAGAGAGACTCCGAGTTCTGTTGGAAAATCAGATTACACATTTTAGGTAAGGATCTAAGGTTCAAGGGCTTATTCAGTCGATGAGACTGGGGAGACTCAAAGAAAGAGCTTGATTTTCCCAAACAGCAAATCTTAGATGCATTGGATTGTCAGAAATAAATGAGTAGAAAAAAGCAAGGCAATCAGACATGGTTCTACAGTAGCTAGCCAACTTTGAATTCTCAAGTTCATTTTATTTTCACTCAGAGAACAAAGACTTCTTGTGTGAGTTGGCTCTGGTCATCGAACTATTACAGAAAGTTAAATCTGAAGCTTCCGCAAGGATCTGAATGAAAGAAAGGTAGTGGTCCTCTTAAGAGAGGCCACACCTTGTCCTGACTGAAGTAGACTGGCTGGCTGTGTAGAGAAGAGTCAGGATCATGTGGAAGGACAGCTTTTCCCACACACTGGAGACAGCTGGCAGGGCCTACACTTGGCCCTTACCCACATGGCCCGCTTCTCATGCTGTGCTGGTGGTTGTAGACCAGCGGTCATGAAATAGTAACTCAAAAATACCAACAGCATTTAAGGAGGAGTGCCTGCTTACTGAAAACTTTCCATGTACAAGGACTAAAGGCTGGAAAACTATTAATTTATGTTTTTATCTCAGAACAACTTGATAAGGTAGTTGTTTTACTCTCCATCTAAACAAGAAGTAAAATGAGACTGAGAGAGATAAGGAACTCACCCAGTGCCACCTGGATAGTCTCAGTTTAGCCCAAGCTGACCTCTGTACCTTGAAAACATTGATTTGAAAAGCTCATGACAGCCTAAATCAGTGATGGAACTCATGGTACCTGACGTAGGTCTACCTATGCCATCAAAGTTCCCCTTCTGGTGGAGCAAAATTTTTGAACTGTCCTTTGTTGACCATACACTGCATACAAAATGCATAACCAGTATTAAATGATCCAGTAACAGTGAAAGACCACAATCCAAGAGCAACAGTGAGCGGAGTCGGGAATGCACTGTCAGTGCTTTCCATTTCACGTGTAATCCTTTGAGGACTGAAAGAAGAGTTTTCGAATCAGCCCTCTTCTAGGGATATGTTTGTCCCTAAATGATATGTAAGGTCACATTTGAGCTAACTAATGATGCTCATTCACAATAGAAATCCAAACAGAGCCTATGTCATCGCTCAAAATATTTTTTTCTGCTGCAGACATTTGTAGAATCCCTCTTTAGTCATTATTCACACATACACATATATACATTATATACACACATAATATGGTGTGAATTCCGATTAACATAACACAATGTGACAAAAGAAAAAGCATTTTCTGTTCCTGAGAGAGAGTTGCTATAGGAATCAAACTAAATGCTAAAATGTAATAGATTTGGGCAACCTGAAGAATTTTATGTCTCTTTTAGGTATTGCTTTCCATTTGGTCGACCTGAAGGCGCATTAAAAGCTACTCTCTCTCTCTTGGAAAGGGTAAGAATGAAAATAAAAGATGCATAGGGAGGTGTGCATGTAATTTTCATGAGATATTCTGGTGAATGACCTAGCTTGTAATTTTCAGAGCTTGTTTACCATTTATCAAATACCAGGATAAAAGAGAGGAAAGTGCCAACTTGCAGAAATTGTCCCTCCCACAGGATGTGTTGGGGAGATGCCTCTGTTTTTGATTCGTGGTGAGGCTTTGCCGTCCCATGCATTGCCAGCCTGGTGTTTTCTGTTGAACCACAGCTTGCAATCAGAATTAATTCCCAAGGAAGCAGTCATAATAACTTTGAACTTGAAGCCTTTGAAGAGCGTAATGAAGTAACATACACTGCTTTGGACCTTAAGAGTCTTTTCTTTCTGCCTACAGGTTTTGATGAAGGATATTGTTACCCCAGTGCCGCAAGAAGAGGTAAAAACAGTCATCCGTAAATGTCTAGAGCAAGCTGCTCTAGTCAACTATTCCCGTCTCTCTGAGTATGCCAAAATTGAAGGTAAGGCTCCCCTCTGCCCCCAGGTTTGTTTCATTTGTGGGATATTTCCCCAGGAAAGACTCTCACCTTTCTAATGGGCACCAGAACATAGTGGTCCATTGGAATCTGTTGGCCTGAAACCTGAAAGAACCAGAAATGCGGAAGCTTCTTTGCTATGGCCAAATAAATTAAACTTTAGGGACTCAGATGACAGCCTTTTGCAGCAGAAGTATAGGAAGACTAGAGGTTGTTAGGAGACAACTAAGGTCCTCCCGAGAGTTTTGTTGGCTCTAAACATGTGCTCTGCAGCTGATGTTTCCCTGTGAACAAGTTTGGTGAGATAACTCCTTCCTTAGAGAAAGGGAAAGGAAGCAGTTTGCTGTTCCTTGCTGATAGCATTGGAAGTAAAACGAGAATTATTCAATGCAACATCACAATGCTTAACTCTCTCTTGCCCCTTGGAAGAATCTTGTCTTTGGTAGCATTCCAAACTTGGTGGCAGGCTAAGGTCAAGTTATCTCTGATGGCTCCAGGTTGGCATTAGGTCTCCTTTCCTTTACTCAGACCTAGTATGCTTGTTACCACTGCCCTCTCAAGTTTTAGGGAAACGGTTGCTGATGACCTTGTCATCATCAAAAAGGCCCTTTGAATAAGCTGTACTTGAGAAGGGATGGTTCTTTGGGACCTATTCATTCACAAAAGTATTAAACACTTTTCATTGTTACCCTGTTGGCTGCCATGGGGTGATTTGAAAACCACACCCACCTTGACCAGTGGTGTAAGTGTATAAATGTGGAAGTTCTATGTGCAAAATTCACTGTGTCCACATTCTGGAATCTGATGTTCTCTCACACGTGAAACATAGGACACCTAACTAAAGCCAGCAAATGTGCATTGTCTTATCTCAAGACATGACTGGGAAAGAAAAAACTAACCCACCACCCAGACTCTGTTACTGACCTTGCCAAAGTCCTTGTTTCGTTAGAGAATTAGGTTGCAATCACATCAAATTTGCAGTGCTTTGTACATTACATGTCCTCCCTCTCAATTTTGTCTGTCTGACAATGCAAATTGTGTACCAGTGGTAATGAATTCATTGTTATGCATCCAGGGAGAAACACTTAAGAATTGGGCACTAAAAGGATGTTTATCAAATCTTGACTTGGTAATTGTGACAAAAATAGAGAAATAAGATTGTCAAAGGGCTCTATTCACAAATAATTGTTCCAGCATTTATCAGCCCGGCACATAATGATTGGTTGGATTTGGTAAAGTCAACCCGGCACCTACCTATGCTAGGCCAGGCCAGGATGGGTGGAGTCAGGAAATGCATGGTTGCCGTGGCTGCTGCCTCAGACATCTCCATCTAGCTAGTACTAGTCTTTTGGTAAGATCTGCTCTCTTCTTTCAGATAAATAAATTCAAAAACAAACTTTTAAGATCTGTAAGTAAAAATGCATTCATTTCCAAAGTAGATCAGCTGGTCTGTAATTTCCTTTTGTGCCTCAATTCTTCTTGGTTGTGTTAACTATCTTTTGCACTGTGACTTTTAGGTCTGGGGATTCTTTGAAGAAACCAATTCTTTTTTTTCCAACTCTCTTTTCAGAGAAGTACCTCATTCCACACTACCTGCTCTCTTCTGCTTCTCTCCTTCCTTGTCCATGATTGGCTCAGCCACTTTTTGCCATTCCCTCTGCAAAAGTGGCTGAGACACCAATTTCAAAGCATGCTGGGATTGTTAATTCAGACAACCCAACATCCTCTGGCTGCATGTATCGGGTTTTCTTTCATGAACATAGTCCAACGTGGGCTGAGACACTGCAGCTTTAAAGATATTACTACCAGACGGCTTTCTTTTATAAGGCTCTGATCCTGCCCTCAGAAAAGAAATCCTCTGTTTTTACAGTTGAGACCCTCTCTGAGCACTAACAGTTTAATTACCTGAGAATTTTGGAAAGAAGTTGTAGTAATATTGCTGGAGACTATGTTTATGAAGAAATACCTCAAGAGCCTTAGATACTAAAGTCTGAAATCCTTAGTATCTTGGAGCCTTAAATCAATGAAATTCTGTTTCCCTTTATTCATGATGTTTTTGGTCATTGTATTCTTGCCAGCAACTCTAAAGAGACGTGTAAAATCATGGTCACAATCTCTCTCGTGACTCACGGCATGCTGAATGGTTAATCCAGTAGATCTCAAATTTTGAAACTCCTTTTTCTTTTATCCTGTGTTTATCCCAAAATATTCTGTGGCTATTTTCCTTTGAGCTAATGTAACGTTTTCCTCTAACCTATGACCTTTAACCTCTTTACCTCTGACCTAAGCCTCTTGCATGCCCAAATCCTCTTTTATAGGGAAAAAGAGAGAAATGTATGAGCATCCTGTCTTCTGCTTGGCCTCCCAAGTGATGGATTTAACCATTCGTGAGTACCTACCACCTCCTCACCATGCTGTCTTCACTCTTTCTGTTTTCATTATTTCAAGACAATCCAGATCCAAACGAACTCACTCTCCTTGCTTCAAGTTTTTAGCATTGGCTTGTCTGTTGGTTCTGTCTGTGAAACCCAGTGTGAGAAGTCCAGTCACTTTTTATCAGCCTAAAACAGGTTAGACAATTAAGCCATTTGTTTGTGATAAACTCAGACTTGTCTGTAAGTTTTTCCGTTATTCTCTGTCTGTGACCTGAATGCATTTTTACTTTGCTTGTGTGTAACCCTAATTTGTAAAGTGCTTGTCACTGGTACACAATCCAAAGATAGCAGCTAGGCTGGGAGCAACGTGTTAGGTGTCAGATAAAAGAAATTTGGGACAACGACATTCCTTTTATCCGTGATTAAGATGTCCAATGAATATGGGTATGAGACCACACAAGGTGGTCCATTCTCTGTAAAAATCAGAACTGATATGCCTCCTGTCTGTTCTCTCTCAAACTGGGAAGCTTTCCTTGTTCTCTCTGGAGATTCTGACTCGTCCTTGTCCTCTAAGCTCTGGCTAGGACATATGACTTACTTGTCATTTGGAGAGTTTGTGTACATGTCATAGCTTGATTTCACATTGAACTTAATTTTACTAATTTTCTATTTGTGCAGCGTTTTCACCTCTGTGAAGGAGCCTTTTTTCGCTGGCCCCCACACTTCGGGGCAGTGGGATCACAGGGCAACCTTTTCTTTCCGATATCATGTATCACACATACGTGGGGGGCATTTTGGTCCAGTTGCTCATTAATCTTGCATATGTGTTCTTGTTTCTCTCTCTCTTCTCTCCTTGTTGTGCTCTCTCTTTCAAATAGAGAATCAAAAGGATGCAGGTGAACCAACTGTATATGTATTATCAATTATCAGGACTGTTGAGTTATATTCAGTTTTTGTTTGTTTTTGTTTTTTCAGTAGCTCCTTAAGATATGTACTCCCGGAGGGTAATGTGGAGTTGCAATAATACTTAAGGAGTTAATTTGTGCTGTCTAAATACATCTCATGCCCATTTCAATGTTGAAGTTATAGAGCAGGATTTCCATAACGGTACAAGCTTTGAAGGAACAGAATCTGGTTTGCTGCAGAGCTTCATTTCATCTTTGGTTCCACGATCCAGCGATTTGGCCTCTTGTGCATTTTTTAAAAAGCTACTGACCCAAACAAATCTTTCTTTTTGTTTTTCATTTCTTTTTTTCTGTTTTCTGCCCTGTGGAGAAGTTTGTGTTCTTTGATGAATGTCTACTGGCCAAGACAGGGAGAGGTTGTGTCTGTGTTGTTCTTATGTGTGCCACATGACGAAACAGGAGGCACAGGCAGGTGACTGAGCAGGGCTGTGGCTGGGGTCCTCACAAGGAGAGAGTCCTTAGAGAATTCCTGGATTTGGAAATTCTCTGCTCATTTGTTCCCCAAACTTCTGAGCCTATGTTGCGGAGAATGCTGACTTGACACATTAATACATGTATAGGGTAGATCGGTACTTTTAAGGCTTAAAGGATTCTCAAAAAATTACCATTTAGTCAAAGTTAACAGTTGACTGTGTTTCAGAGGAATTCAGAGTGCACTTTTGAGTATGTGCTAGGCATACTCATAATGATCAATATTAACCCGCAATCCTGTGTCCAAGACAAGTGAGCCTTTCTCTCCCTGACAGAAAGGTATTCTTCATTCATCCATTTACTCACTCTCTCACTCATTCAACAAGTGCTTAATGGGAACCTACTCTGCGGCAAGTACAGTGCCAAAAGCCACAGACTGCATACCCAGAGGGAGACCTCGGTTAGCCTCACAGAGCCTCTGTGCAGAAGCGCATTGCAGAGGCATTACACTGTGACACCCACGGTCCAGCTGTGCATGAGAGTTATAGGGTGCTGTCAGAAAGCTGGAGACATCTTCACAAGGTGGTAAGGCTTGAACTGTGTCTTGAGAGAGATGGAACTGGCTAAGGAGAGCTGGGATTGGAGACTGGAGAGGGATTCTAGAGAAAAACTGCAAACTGTACAAATACACAAAAATCATAGTTAACAGAAACAACTAATGTTTAATGTCTGTCATAGACCAAGCACAATTCCATGTGCTTTATGTCTACTAAGTCATGGATTCCTAAAGCCCTTATTGGACTGTTATTCCCATTGTATAGGTGAGCACAGAGGCACAAATAGCCTAGCAAAATAGTCCTGGAAGCATAGTGCTAGAGCCAGAATCTGAGCCCAGGCAGAGGCCATACTGATGTACTGTGCAGTTCAGTGTGGTCATCAAACAGGGTTGTGATGGCAGAGGTGGGGCCTTTACATGCCTCGATAAGGCAGCGTCTGGCTGGAATTCAGGTCCAAAAGTTCTGCACCTGGAATCTGTGCCAATTTGTACCTACATATGGAAGGTTCAGAAGCAAGATGCCACAAACCTTACAGGTGACAGGGAGCCACTGAAAGCTCCTCAGCAGGAAGGCAGCTTGGTGATTTACACCCCAGAAAAAGCACTCTGGCAGCAATGGAAAGCAAAGACTGAAGAGCAGGAATCAAGTAAAGCTGGGTGTAAAATTTAAGTTCAAAGCAGAGATGGGTTTTAAGCTTGGTATATTCAAGGTTTCTTCTTAACATATCAAGCCTCAGTCATATTTGCAGTGAGTATAACTATTGCTAACCTTCACGTGTTTGTCTTGTCCTCCTTCTCCCTCTTCAATGAACAGAGCACAAACGTGTGGCTAGGCAGGCACAGGCAGCTGTATGGAGGTGGCAGAGCATCGCCAGAGTCACATGTGCGCACTGGGGTGAGGTCGGATGCTGAGAACTGCAATACACACAGCTCCCGAATTCTTCAGTCAGCTGAGCATCAGAGTCTACAGGACTCCAGGATGGCTTTGCTTCCTGTCTGGTGGCATTATTAGAAATTAAGTGTTTAGTTTAATTATAGTATCTCAAGGAAAAAGATACAAAAGACTGATAATCTATGTAAGACAAGCTGTGACTCCTGCAAATGAAATCTATTATTTTAAATACATTTCCATTTAAACTGTCACACATTCTGAACCAGGCAAGCACTAAGAAAGTCTACACTACTATTGCTGTTTTGCCTCCGTTCTTGGCTAAATACTTGCATAATTTTCTGAGCATCATAACGATCCCACTGGAATTTGAAATACAACAACTTTCTCCTTTAAATATGCCAAGGATTTTAAAAATTGGACAGATGATTTATACAGAGAGAGAGAGAGATGATAGGAATAGAAATAGATAGATGACAGATGAGAGACAGACAGACAGCCAACCTTGGGCTTAGGCACTGTTCTGAGGACTTTACATGGAAGATCTGGTCAGATCTTCACTTAGTCCCATGAAGCAGGCTTTATTGCTATTCCATTTACTGGCAATAAAGCTGAAATTCAGGGAGGGTAGGTAACTTTTCCAAGAATTTGACCTCGGTTCTGACTAAACTAAAAAAACATGCTTTCTGTCTCTTTCTACTGTATAGATTTCCCAGCTAATTTGGTGGAGACTTGTACAGTATCCATTCATTCAGTGGATAAGGTCAAATGTACCTACAGCATAGGAAGACTATAGAATGACAGCACAGTTCCTTGTGGGGCCGGATCATTGCCAAAATCTCTACACTGTGAAGTCTTCCTGAGGGTAGTTGAGATTTCCTGAGATTGCCAAAGAGCTGAGGATTTTTCCCCTCTCCAATTGACAAAAACCTTCTAGAGCAGGTGAAGTCCATGCGAAGGACTTCCAAGCAGATTTTGTGGTAGAGAGGTTCTGTATCATTCCCTTCCTCCAGTCAAACATCCCACGGGTGTGAGGCTGCTGAAAGACGGAGACAACCAGGTGCTCACAATACTCAGCTGCACACGGTGCACAGCCCTCACCCTGCTGCCTTCCTCAGGGGACCGGTGAGGGAATGCCTCGGCCCCACAGGACCCGTGTCACTCTAAGGTGGGGACTGTCTCCAGCCTCAGGCCTCATCACTGAGGAGCTAAACGTGTCTCTTCTCGTCCTTTCTACTTTAGTGATGCATAAATCAGTTTCCAAGCCCAAATTATTCTGTACACTCGCACCTCACTTATGCTTTACAAAAGGGGAGCATATTTCAAAAACTGTCATCGATAAAGATTTTGAAGGAAGAGAGGATGTGTTAAAAATGTTCTGTGAACCAACAAATATAAAACCAGAAAAAGATGTGTTGCTGCTGATAATTCTTAGTAATATGCATATCTAATTTAATTCTCACAACATCCATTGAGATAGATGTTTTACTACCTTACCTTATTGGCTCTTAAAGACCAGCAGTCATAAGATGCACCATTAATGTGCGACTAAGAAAGAGGTAATGCCATCAACCAAACTGTACGATACCACCAAATGTAAGATGCATCCAGAGTTTAGCAATGTTAAAATGTTCCTGGAAACCCAGAAATAGAAAGTTCTCAAGTAACCTGCCCAAGATGAAATAGCTGGTCAGTTGCAGAGTAAGAATTTGAACAGGAGCCTAATTCTGAAGCCCACAGTCTCTGCTTCTTCATTGTGAAATGCTTGTGCATTGATAGCAATAAAATTGCAAGACCATAAAGAGGCTTCTCAAATAATAACAAATAAAATACAGAGTTCTTAGATAATCCCAACCTTCAACAGATCGGGAAACCAAGGCCTAAAACAACAACCCAGATTCAGTATAAACTGAGCAGTGACTGTCCAGGCTGTTGTCACATGTGCACTTTACCAGGCTGCCTCCCTTCTGTTCAAGAGTTCAGAGCCCCTGGTCTTCATCCATTAACTGACAGTACCCACATATCAGAATCATAGATTCGCAGATCCAGGAAAACAGTACCCCAGAACCAACTTGAAGTACTAAAGGTTTGTTTTTTATGGTAGGTTGGTTGGTTGAATTTTTGAGACAACGTCTTGCTATGGAGTTCAGGCTGGCCTTGAACTCGCTGTGTAGCCCAGGCTGGCCTCAAACTCACAATGATCCTCTTGCCTCAGCCTCCCAAGTGCTGGAATTATAGGCATGTGCCAGCCACCCATCAACTAAGGAGTATTTTTATACCCCAAAAGCAATCACTGTCTTGGGTCCACTGGGTTTTTTATCCTGTATTATCCCCCTTTTCTTTCATTTGAAGGGTACTAATGATGGCCTCACATCTATAGGACCACTGGAAACACCGAAAGTCACATTTCAAATAAAGTTCCTAGCACAGTGCTTGGCACATGATACATACAGTATTTATTTTACCTGTTATTATTTGTTTATTATTGTTTAAAAGTACAGTTTCTTCCAAATTCAAATCTATAGTAGAGACAATTTTTTTATTCCAGAAATGGAACATAAAACAGTGCTTTTCAAACTTTAATGCTCATGTTAGTCCCTGGGAAACTTGTTGAAATGTGGATTCTGACCCAGGAGGTCTGGGTTAAAGCCAGGAATCTGCAGGTCTAGCAATCTCACCCAGGTGAGGCTGTTAGTGCTCTCTGGATATCAAGAGAGTCCAGAAGGAATCAAATTATTTTTTGTCATACTTTTCAAATAAAGCATTGCAACGTAGTTGCACACACGTGTGGAATGCCCAGTAGGTTGGAGGTACTGTGCCTAGAAACAGGAGATTATGTAGTGAACCAGAGGAGTCAGGGTCCCTTTCTTTTACACTAAAGTGGAGGACATAGGTGTGAAGCAAGCACAGATGACTGTTGGAAGGGAAAATAAAATGTGCTACAGGAGCACAGTGCAAGAGAAGTTTGTCCATGCCAGTGTCTGTGATGCACAGTGGAGTAGGAACAATCCCAGAGGAGGAAATCATGGAGGTTAAGGGATAGACCAGCTAGGCTGTTCCCATCCTTGCTGCAAT